CCAACCACGGCTGCCGGTATTTTACCGTAAATGTAAAATGTAAATATAGTGTTTGTGCATTTATGCTAAACAGACTACTGTTTTTCACACAAATACCTAGAAACCATATAGTTATATTTTTACCATGGTATTGAGTAGGCCTGTCGCAATAATCAATATATCGACTTATCGCGCAATATATGTACAATGACCTCAATAATTTTTGGTGATGCAATATATCGCCCATTATATTTATTTAAAAATTAATGTTACCATGTTTTGTACATTCCACTTGCGCCTGTGTCTTTTGCAGCTTCTCGTACATAACGCAGTGTAGTCATGAGGTGCTAGTTCACATTTAATAAATGCTTCTATAAAAAAAAGTTTAATCTGCAGATATGGTCTTGTTTAGGGATCTGTGCCTTTGTGCATACGGACATCTGACTGCTAAGTAGTAATTTTGTTTTTCAGCAATAGTGTGCACCATTAATTTACAGAGAAAAGAAGGTCAGGGAAAAATCTGTAGATGGAAAAATCTCCATACAAGTTGGCCTTCTTGCATTATTATGCTGTTACATTATGATTATATATTCAGTGGCATAAAATGGTCTTTAAAATTACAATAATATCGCTTATCGCAATTATTTCTGGGGCAATATATCGCACAACAAAAAGTTGTTATCGTGACAGGCCTAGTATTGAGGTGCTTTATAACAATGGTTAATTTGAATAAAACTCAAACAGTCAGAATAATTACATTTGCATGTAAAAATGAAGTTGTTACAATTTTTACAGATGTTAATGTTTTTGATAATGAACATAAATTTACATCTGCATCCAAACTCAAGCGACTGTCAAATGTGCATTTCTAAGAGACAAAAATGTAGTATTATTAATATTGCAGCCTGCACTGCAAACTGTGCTGAAGATACACGTCATCAAAGTCAGGAACACAAACCGGTTTCATGATTTGAAACAATATCACTCATTAAAATATGCAGAAACGAAGAAATAATTTTTTTCTATTAAGAGATTTATTTTGTTAAGGAAAAAATCACTGGAAAAGTGTAAATAATTCAAAA